AGCATATATATAGATACGGTGGATTTCATCAAAAGGTTGTCATAATTCAAATCAGGGAAAAACCCTCAGATACACTGGCTTTTTGCCAAATATTACGCACGATTCCATGAGGGTGTATATATATATATATATATATATATATATATATATATATATATATATATATATNTATATATATATATATATATATATATATATATATATATATAGAGAGAGAGAGAGAGAGAGAGAGAGAGAGAGAGAAAATGCCGAGGCGTACGGCCCGATCCAATATAAAAGTAAACTGTGCACTACCGAGGGTCGAACGGCGCGAACCATGGATGCATCTATTAACCTGCCGAGGCGATCGGCCTGCTCCCATGAGAGTAGTAGAAGGAGTTACCCCGCTCGCGAATCATACTTGCGACGCGATCAAATATAAGCTTAAGGAATTTTCCCGCTCGCGAATCATACTTGTGACGCGGTCAAATATAAGTTTTGAGAAATTATCCCGCTCGCGGATCATACATGCGACGCGGTTACACATAGATTTCTTAAGTTATTAAAGTATTCGTCAATTCTTTTTAAATTACGAATTTCAAATGAAAACTTTTAAGTTCCCAACTTTTCCTCAATTTCGACTCATTTCATAAATATTTAATAAGCTAACTCAATCCCACTTCTTCTCAAGGCAAACAATAAACATAAATCAACAACAATATCAACAAGTTATGATGTAAGCCTAAACTATCCGGACATAGGCATAGCTAGTAACTACGTACGGACTCTCGTCACCTCGTGCGTACGTAGCCCCCACAAATAGAAGCACATAATAATTTAGTTCACCTATGGGGTTAATTTCCTCTTACAAGGTTGGAAAGGAGACTTACCTCGCTCCGAAGTTCCATAACCGGCTCCCAAACCCTTCCGACGACTCAAACCGATGCCCAACGCTCCAAAACCAGTCAATAATTATACAAACTCATTAATATATACTCAAATACCCATTATAATCCTATTTACAATAATTTCCAACTCCGCTTGAAAAGTCGATAAAACCATCCTCGGGCCCACGTGCCACGATTCCGAAAATTTTCGAAGATAAACTTTACCCATAACACCACGAACTCAAATATATAATTTATTCCAAGTTCCATGTCCAATTTCGTGATCAAAATCCAAAAATATAAATTTCAAGGTTTTTCTTCAAAACCCCAAATTTTTCACTAATTTCCCATGATTTTCCATGTTAAAATCTAGATATGATCCAAGTAATTAACTTGTAATAGGTGGGAATCACTTGTCTTGACATAGATGATGAAGATGGAGCTCCAAAAATCGCTCCTAGGTCGTCTCCCATGGAGGAAATGAGATGAAATGAGCCAAATCCACTTTTGCAAACTTATACACTGCCACGCAACCCTTCTTCGCGTTCGCGGGCCTCCTAGCGTTCGCGATGAACAAAATTCTCGAAAGCCATTTTCAAACTCTTCTCAGACAGCCTCTAGTATAATTGTCATAACTTTTTGCACAAAATATCAAATGACAAATGGTTTAACCTTTTGAAAACAAGACACCAAGAACTACAACTTTCATATTTTAGTCATCTCCCAATTCTGTATAGATTTCGGGTTATAAGCCTCCAAAGCCAGCTCTGTGCAACACAAATTTCTTCTTCATCTTCCCGGACAGCCTGTAGTGTACCAGCCATAACTTTTTGTAAACAAATCCAAATGCTAAATGGTTTACTTTTCTGAATACTAGACAGAAAGGGCTACAACGTTTGTTTTTGAATTATCTCTAAATTTCTTATATATTGCGAGATATGAGCCTCCGAAGTCAGACCTATGCAACAGAGATTTCCTTTTTCGCGAACGCGAAGAACAAAATCCCAAAAGCCAAATCCTTCAGCGCGAACGCTAGAGGATCCTTGCGAACGCGAAGAACAACACCAGATATCAGTAAATCAGTATCCAAAGTAGCCCAAAATGATCCGAAACACACCCGAGGCCCCCGGGACCCCGTTCAACCACACCAACCTGTCCCTAAACATGACACGAACTTGCTCGAGGCCTCAAATCACATCAAATAACATCGAAATCATGAATCGCATACCAATTGAAGCTTAATGAACTTTAGAACTTCAACTTCTACATTCGATGTCGAAACCTATCAAATTACGTCAGATTCCAGACAAGTCACATTCAACATTATGGACCTACACCAACTTCCAGTATTGGAATCCGACCCCGTTATCAAAAAGTCCACTTCCGGTCAAACTTCTCAAAAACCTTCAAATTTCTAACTTTCGCTAAATGACCCCAAAATGACCTACGGACCACCGAATCCACTTCCGGACGCGCTCCTAATACCAGAGTTACCATACGGAGATATTCCCAGACTCGAAATCCCAAACAAACATCGATAACATTGAAATGCACTACAACCCAAATTTATGAAATTCTTCCAAAACGCCAAATTCCACAATAGGCGTCGAAACGCTCACGGGTCATCCAAAATCCGATCCGGACATACGCCCAAGTCCAAAATCACCAGACACCTGTTGGAATCTTCAAATCCTGAATCCGAGGTCGTTTACTCAAAAATCAAACAATAGTCAATTCTTTCAACTTAAAGCTTCCGAAATGAGAATATTCTTTCCAAATCAACTCCAAACTTCCCGAAATTCAATTCTGACCATGCATGCAAGTCATAATGCCTGAAGTGAAGCTACTCATGGTCTCAAACTGCCAAACGATGTGCTAGAGCTCAAAACGACCGGTTGAGTCATTACACTGTCAGTAAAAAGTAACTTGCCTCTAGAGAATATCCCCATTAATGACAGATTCATAATCAAGAATCAAAGAAAGTGGAGATGTATGTTTTCACATTATGATAGCTCTGGCCAAGAATCAATCTTACACTTCTGAGTATGAGTTTGTTCCACATTTGTTGCAGTAGAATTTCACTTGCTGCAAATGAAAAAGTGTCACGACCCAAAATCCATTAGTCGCGATTGCACCTAACTCAACCCGCTAGGTAAGCCAACTAATAACTATCCAATTTTAATAATATTAATAAGATAATTAAATAAAGGAATTATCTGAATCTTATACATTTCTCAAGGACTGGTAGTACAATTCATGAGCTTCTAAGAATAGAATTTACAAAGCTCATATGAAGTAAATACATCTTCTGTTTGAAAAGTACATAACAGAGTTTTATAAATCAACGGCTACCATGAACAAGAGGCAGATACAACCCGAACGCAGGTACATCTTCAAATCTAGCTCCCATCGAACACAGCAACCTCAGCAGCCAACATCTGCATGCCGCAACGAGTATTGTACAGTGTATTGTACAGTGTATATGCGCTCACTGGGGGTGCAGACTCCGAAGGGGCTCCTACAGCCCAAGCGCTATAGTCCGCATGGACAACTCACGTGCTGCAGGGATAACTCACGTTCCAAAGTATCAAGATCACAATCTGCACGGACAACTCACGTGTTATAGTATTAATAACCTCACAATTAGGCCCTCGGCCTCACTCAGTCATCAATCTCTCCAGTCTCTCTCTCTCTCTCTCTCTCTCTCTCTCTCTCTCTCTCTCTCTCTCTCAGGCTCACAATGACATGAAACTGGCCTAAAAATGATGCTCTGATGTATCAATAAATAACAACAGAGACTGAGATATAATATGTATATGAATGCGTATAACTGAGTATATAAAGCAACGAAAGCAAATAACTCAACAACAGAAATGAGGTTGAGTTAGATCAGTCTAAAAGAACGCAGTCTGATTTTTTTATACACGGGGATTTTTGCTTTTGCAATAAAAACTCCGCACCTGCGCATTTCCATTTGTCATTTCCGCTTTTGCGGACCATTTTTCGCACTTGCGGGGCTGCAGATGCGGACCCAACTTCGCATCTGCGAAACACCAGCACCAGCTCTCTTCTCTGATACTAAAATGAGCATAACTCCCTCATACGATGTTCAAATTCGATGATTTTTTTTTTGCTATGGCTCCGTAATTACGATACGGATCTAATGCTTCAATACAAACAGAAATTGGAGCTTATTTTCTTAATGTGGTACCATTTATGCTTGAAGAAACGATGTCGAAACATAAAAAACGAGCGCAACACAACCCAAACCTATCCGAAACTCACCGAGCCCCTCGGGACCCTATTCGAACATACCAACAAGTCCCATATCATAACACAGACCTACTCGAGGACTCAAAACACACATAACAATATTGAAATGACGAATCACACCTCAATTCGAAAATAATGAACTTGAAACTTCAAACTTCCACAACTGATGCCGAAACCTATCAAATCACGTCCGATTGACCTCAAATTTTGCACACAAGTCACATTTGACATTACGTATCTGCTCCAACTTTTGGAATCGGAATCCGACCCCGATATCAAAAAGTCCACTCCTGGTCAAACTTTCCAAAATTTCAATGTTCGCCATTTCAAGCCAAATTCTACTGCGGACCTCCAAATCACAATCCGGACGCGCTCCTAAGTCCAAAATCACCCAACGAAGCTAGAGGAACCATCAAAATTTCAATCCGAGGTCAAATACTAAAAGTCAAACTTGGTCAAACCTTTCAAATTAAAAGCTTCTAGCACAGAATAATTCTTCCAAATCAATTCTGAATAACTTGAAAACCAAAACCGACGATTCACATAAGTCATAATACATCATACAGAGCTACTCATGCCCGATAACTACCCAACGAAGTGCAATTACTTAAAACAACCGGTCGGATCGTTATAAAAAGAGCAACCGGAAAAGATACAAGAACATCACTGACAACCGCAACCACACAGAACAATGGTATTTAAATGGATCTGTAGGCAAATAATAACAAAGTAAAGTCAGTTTCGATAATTTATATTAGAAGTACTTGTCGACCAAAATAAAGGATCAAGAAAGAGTTTTACCTTATATTTATTACTAATCCGTAGGAATTAAAGTTCCAAATTCACAAGGCATATATCCAGATGCAACCACAATTCAGTAAAGTCGAATGGAAGAGTATTCATATGCACCCTCAGATCCATCCCAGATTCAAATTTCACCTATGGCTAACCATTAAGCAAAGGATAGCAACTGTGGATAGACTTAGTAAATTTGGCATCCAAGTGCAAGCAGAGTGTATTTTTTGTGGAAAGGGTGAGGAAACTTTTGAACACCTATACTTTGGCTGTCAGAATACCAAAAAGCTGTGGGAAAGGATACTGAAATGGCTGGGACATACAAGACTGATAGGAGACTGGAATCATGAACTGAACTGGATGATCAACATAGCCAAGAAGAAAGAGTACATGGCAGAAATGACTGTAGCAGCTTTTGCAATGGTCGTGTACTGCATTTGGCGTGAGAAGAACTCACTGAGATTCAACAAAGGCAGATACAATATAGATGAAGTCTCTAAAGAAGTGGCGATGCATATACACATACAAGGAAGGAAGAAGATTAAGTGGAAAGAAGGATTAGAACTTGTAAATAGAATGCCTTAGTTTACTAGTTTTCAATAGTGCATACACAGGCAGAATATTTTTTTGTAATAGTTATTAGAGATTAATGGTCAGCATTAATCTGGATATGTAATGACTTTTTTTGATGAAATAAAATCAAATTTTCGTCAAAAAAAGATCCTGAAAACTATTGGAAACGGGTGTCTTTCCATCTTACATTTTGTAACTTAAAAATTAATTGAATATTTGTCCACCATAAAACTTAACAGTGTTTATTTGCATATTAGTGAATATAAATTAAAAGAATATTATATGAATAAAGGGTAATATGGTCTTTCAGCTTTGATGGATATTTTGGTAATTCAACTTCAACTTTAAAGCTTCCCACTTATAATATAGTATGATATGATATGACGATTAATTGATATATTAGCATCTGATGTTATCTGCTTATCTGGCTAGTGTATTTAGGGACCCATTAACAACCTACAAAAGCAAATTAGAAATGGAGGTTACTATAGCAAGTGCTTCTGTGAGTTCCCTGTAAAGGTATGGATTTTTTGTGCTTCTGAATAAACTAGATGCTATGCAATTATGTGATTTAAGTTATCGGGGATGCCTTTTAGTCTTTTGCTCTACTTTAAGAATTTCTTAGGTTTTGCTTTAAATAATTAAGTTTTGAATTTGCGCAATGAAGAGAAAAGTTGTGGAGATGTAAAGATTGCGGCAAGGTAATGCTTGTACAGTTGTACATTGAACTAATACATTCTCATTAATTTTTTTTTCAGTAGCACTGTAAGTGGTAAAATAATTTTTTGTGATATGTCTACGGAATCATGAGAATATTTTTTTTTAATTTGAAGAACATCTTGATGTAGCTATTGTGGGAAAAATGGGTATAGGCTAAGAAAATTATTGCCGTTTTTGCGCTTGAGTTTTATAGTACTCTATTTCAGGAAAAAACTTCACTATCTTTATTTTTTTTTATGTACATCTATTACCCAAGGTAATCTTCTGATTTTGATTCATCTAAAAAATTTTATATACTAAACCCCAACTTGTGTTAAAGCTGACAGTTTTATTGCAGGTGTAACAAGTGATGCGAAGCTTTCTTCCTATTAAAACGTGAGAGTCTCTAAATAAAATTACTAATTACTATTATTATTATTATTATTATTATTATTATTATTTATAAACATCATTTGGACATAATAAAATACAAGAGAAATTAAAGTGATATTTTTTCTTTCTATCCGGAAGTCTTCTAACACTACTATAAAACTGACAAAATTCGTCCAAAGATTACCGACCGAAGTCGGTCAAAAAAAAATCGACTGAAATCGGTCGGAAATTAAGTAAATTGATCGCAAAAGTCAAAGAAAATATTTCTGACAACAGAAATAGCGGTCCCACAGCAAAAAAATAAAAATTCCGACCGATTTCGGTCGGAACTTGGCCAATATTTGACCAAGACCTGGTTATACTTATATATAATCTACAAAAATAATTTTTTATTAAAATTTTTCAATATTTCTGACCGATTCCAGTCTAAATATTTGAAATTATGCATTCCCTCCCAAGACTATTGGTAAAAATTATCTATATTTAATTTACCTGAAGAAGGTACATAAGGACCCACCACTCTGAATCATATCTCTAGGACGGCCCCCTGCTGGTTGGCCTCCACGTCTAGCGGCCTGGCCTCCACCTCTAATGGTCTAACCTCCACCTCTAGCGGCCCGACCTCTAACTCTTGCTCCCCGACCCCTACCTCTAGTTGGCTGAGCGGGCGGTGGCGCGCCCGGTGCCGGAATCATGGCACGGGAACCCTGCTGCTGTGGCGGAACGCCCACTAATCTCGGACAAGTCCTCCGGATATGCCCATAATCACCATACTCGAAACATCCATCCTGATACTGTGGCTGTGGAAACTGAGACTGACCCGAGCGAGCATACTGACCGCGATAATAACTCTGAAGATGAGGTCCTCTGATAGGAGCTGGTGGTGCACTATTAGTTGGCTGCTCTGAAGAAGGTACATAAGGACCACGACTCCTTGAAGCTCCATGGGATATCTGAAGTGCTGAATGAAATGGCCTGGGATGATGGCCCATATCAAAAGTACCTTGACCTCCAGATGAGGCCCCACTGAATCCACCGGAGTGACGCGGCCTCTTCTCAGATCCCTGACCATTCCCCTGAGCTAGAACCATCTCAACTCGTCTAGCAGCATTGGCTGCATCCTGGAAAGAAATATCACTACCAGTCTCCTTAGCCATCTGCAATCTGATAGGCTGAGCAAGTCCCTCAATAAACCTTTTCACCCTCTCTCTCTCTCTCAGTAGAAAGTATAAGAAGAGCAAGACGGGCCAAATCAATAAAGGGGGTCTCGTACTGAGTAACGGACATACTGCCCTGCTGGAGACGCTCGAACTGCCAGCGATAGTCCTCTCTCAGTGTAACAGGAAGGAACTTCTCGAAAAATATCTGAGAGAACTGGTCCCAAGTCAAAGCAGGAGACTGATCGGCCCCAACTCTATACTACTATAAAATGGCAAAGAGTGGTCGATGCAGCTTTTACCTGAAAGGTCGGGATCGATATCAACAAGGAGCTAATATTGGTTGGGAATCGGGTTTCTATCCGACCTAGCTATGTGTGTTGTTCTTAATCGCACTTCTAACCATGCTTTGTTTTGTTTCTATTCTACTTTTATGCTAATGAATGCTGAAAGTAATCTAAGTATATTGTTTTTGTAAGGGTTTTCTCAATTAATAAAAGACACTAGGGAAGCGACTTACACCTAGGCGAGTATCAAGTGGGGTCTAAAACTTAGGACAAACTTGTTATAACTGGAATCATGATATAACCATTGCACATAATTACTCACTCTATACCTCTCGGTAGTTCGAGTGACTTTGCCCTAATTGGCTTTCTCAAGCCTAATTGGATGTTCAAACAATGCAAGCAAAATCGGCTCAAGTCGGGTATTACTATCTCTAGGTATAACCCTTTAACTGGGGTTATCAATCTCTTGAATGCACCCCAATTCCTTGTTAGCCTGAATTTCCTAGACTTAGTCTCTCTTTCTCAAGAAGAGTCTAAGTCATATAGGCACGATCAGTGTTTGCAACCACCAATTCAATGATTAAAGCATGATTCAAGCTAAATATCATTAACCCATAAACAATTAAGCCCTAAAATTGAAGACCCATTAAATACCTACTCTAGGGTTGGGTCACAACCCTAGCTAATGGGTTTAGCTACTCATAATCAAGGTAGAAATCAAAGATGGAGATGAAATATAACCCATAAAAAGTAATTACAAGAGTAAAATCTAAGATTAATGGCTAAAGCTACTCTAAAATTACTCAAAATAGCTAAGTACGACGGTTCACGTGTTCCTCAAAACAAAAGCTGACCTAAAAATGTGAAAAAGAACTATTTACAAACAGCTGAAATTTCTGGACAAAAATACCCTTACAGAGGATCCGCTGACAGCGTAATAATGGGCGCCTCAGCGCTTGAACTTTCGTGGCCACGCAAAAGCAAGCGCGGACCGCGGTTCTTCTCTTTTGGAATGGGTCTGGACTTGATTTCACTGGGAGCATAAAAGCAACCGCCTTAGAGTTGTCTTCAATCGCGGCCGCGTAATATGTTCGCGGACCGCGCTCTTCATTTGAGCTCAAATTTCCAGTCCTCTGATTCTCAATTTCTCCCTTAGTGCTACTTGGACCGCGACCGCGGCAAGTATTTCGCTAGCGCGCTATTTCACCGCGGGCAGCGGTATCTGTTGTGCCTAAACTTGCCTTCTCTGAACCTCAATTCTGCTGAGAGTGTAATTATGGTCGCCTCAGCGGTGGAACTTCCGCGGCGCACTATTTCATCGCTGTCAGCGCTTTTAGCTTAGCTTTGAACTTGTGCAGGTTTAACTCCTTTATGAGCTGGTTATGACTTTCTTGCTTCGTTTCGACCAAACACTGCAAACAAGCACAATAAATTAGTTTCCGGGACTACTTTTACAAATTTTTAATCTAAAACCTAAGCAAAAGGGAGCATAAAATAGGCTAAAATCCCTAGTTATTAGAGACCCAGCTGGTCTAGTCAACACAAAATCATGCCACCATCTCTTCGCGAACCTATCATCTGGAACGCAGCAAAATCAACCCCATTGGTCTCCACTATCGCCATGTTCCGCAGCACCTCATGGCAGCGGTCAAGATAATCATGTGGGTTCTCAGAAGCTGCCCCACCGTAATGAACTGGAAAAAACTTGGTGAACTTGTCGAATCTCAACAAGGCCTCAGAAGACATAGTTGATCCGTTATCGGTCTGCGCTACAATACTCGGCGGAACTGCCCCAACTGGCTGGGCTGCTGCAGTCTGAAACTAGGGAGCCATCTGCTCCGGAGTGTGGGTAGCGGGAGTCTGAACTCCTCCCCCATCCCGAGAGACAACTAGTGCTACAGGAAATGTGCTGGTCTGAGCAACACTCTCCATAAGGCCCACTAGACGGACCAAAGCATCCTGAAGTACTGGGGTAGCGATAAACCCCTCTGGAACCTGAGCTGACCCTGCTGGAACGGTCTGGGCTGGAGCCTCCTCATCAAACTCTACCTGAGGCTCTGCCGCTGGTGCTGCTGCTCAAGCTCTGGGCTGAGCCCTGTGACGACCCGACCCGTCGTCTCATGTGTTACTGCTCCGTTTTCCCCATTTATTGCTTCTTCATGTTTCGTTATCGGTATGTGGTGTGTGAGAGTTGATTTGGATTGGTTTTGATAAGAAATGAGACACTTAGTCTCTTTAAGGAAGGCTTGTTTTGGAAAAGTCAACCGGACGTTGACTTACGAGTTAGAAGGTTCGGATGTGATTTCCGGTGATTCGGTTAGCTTCGGGAAGTGATTTGTGACTTAGTAGTGTGATCGGAATTGATTTTGGAGGTCCGGTGTAGAATTAGGCTTGAATTGGCGGAGTTAGTATTTTGGCGAATTCCGGTTGATAGGCGAGATTTTGATCCGAGAGTCGAAATGGAATTCCGAGAGTT